TATAATTATATTCTATGAAATGTAGCTCTACCCTTTTCTTCTTTAAGATTCAGTTTCTAACCTCTTCTAGCTTTTTCAGTTCTTTTCTTTACTATATCGAATTTCCATTCTATTCCTACTTCAATTCTAGTAAATTTTCATGTCATTTTATCTTATATATTATATTATTTATATGTCTTAATTTATACCTATATCTCTTAACTACAGTTTGCTAATGTTCCATCATCTCGTTCTTCCCTATTTGCAGATAGTAAAATCGACGATAGATTTCCACATCATCATCGGTTTCGGCTGCACTTCGATGTGAAGAGCATTCCCGCCGAGGAGAAGCTGAAGGCCGCCGAGCTGCAGCTGCAGCGATCAGCGCTGAGCGTTAGCCAGGCGGTGAACCGGACGCGCTACCAGGTGCTCGTCTACGACATAACGCGGGTGGGCGTGCGGGGCCACCGGGAGCCGAGCTACTTGCTGTTGGACACGAAGACCGTGCGCCTGAACAGCACAGAGACGGTGAGTCTCGATGTCCAACCGGCCGTTGATCGGTGGCTGGCAACACCTCAGAAGAACTTCGGGCTGCTGGTGGAGGTGCGCACGATGCGCTCCCTGAAGCCGGCGCCGCACCACCACGTGCGCCTACGCCGCAGTGCGGACGAGGCGCACGAGGAGTGGCAGCACAAGCAGCCGCTGCTCTTCACCTACACGGACGACGGGCGGCACAAGTCGCGCTCGATCCGGGACGTGGGCGCGCGGGAGGGCGGCGGCGGCAACGGCGGCGGCCGCAACCGGCGCCACCAGCGGCGCTCGCGCCGCAAGAACCACGAGGAGACCTGCAGACGGCATTCGCTCTACGTGGACTTCCAGGACGTGGGCTGGAGCGACTGGATTGTCGCGCCGCCCGGCTACGACGCGTACTACTGCCACGGCAAGTGTCCGTTTCCGCTGGCCGACCACCTGAACTCCACAAACCACGCGGTCGTCCAGACCTTAGTCAATAATATCAATCCAGGGAAGGTACCAAAGGCGTGCTGCGTGCCCACGCAGCTGGAGGGCATCTCGATGCTCTATCTCAATGACCAAAGGACAGTTGTGCTCAAGAACTATCAGGATATGACAGTTGTGGGCTGTGGCTGTCGATAAGCCGCAGAGCAGCACAAACTGAAAGCAGAAGCAGAAGCAGCGAGAGAGAGAGAGAGAGAGAAAGTGAGTGAGCAAGTGAGAGAGAGAGAGAGAGAGCATCTAATGCTGTTTGGTTCCAAGCCGTCAATGCTTTAAACACAACGCAAACAAAATGGACTGAATATTTGAATTTTAAGTGTAAATCGTAGACTTTAATTGTATGTAGAGCGAAATGCAGCCACCACAAGCGACCGACCAGCCCCAGCCTCCTGGCCTACCAGGACTCCCAGGACTCCAGGCTCTCAAGGGTCYGCCGCCGCCGTCTCTGTCACTTTCCACAGCCAGGCTTTGGAAATGTTGCACAGAGCCAAACGCCGAGACGCAAGCAACAACTGTAAATAGCCGCCCCACCATGCCCCCACGCCCCACGCCATCACGCCCCAACCCCCCAGCAGTCAACAAACAAAATGCCATAGACCGCACTCTGAGATACTTTTGTATCTCGCTGAATTGAACAAATTGTATAGAAAAGCTAATGCTAAGCTATGTAAAAATCGAATCAGGCTAACGAGAATGTCCTGCAAAGAGTAGAAAACTTGAAATTATTATAAATAT